AACTTGCTAGTTTCACTTTGATTTGTTTAAACTCAAGTAGGGTAACTCTGTTCCCAAAGAGTGCGCTTTTGTGAAGAGGGCGCCACCAAATTTTGAGGACACTTTTTTAATTGGCTCAAAGAGAGAAGTGGCCCATCTTGTTATGTACTATCATTGCTAAGACCAAGGAAAAGGTCTGAGACGAAGCAGTGACTCAACAGTTTAAAACTCGAAGAGAAAAATTGACGGGACAATTTATTATCGTTTCTATTCTTTACTGTCACAACTGCCACCTACCAGCCTCCTATTGATTAATAAAACCTCGTCTCTCTGACGCAGAATTCGCAGAAAGAAAACTGACTCGGACTGACGAGGCTGATTCTCCCACTCTCAGTCTTGTCTCTCACAGTGCTTTACTTACGCTTGGATGCAAACGAATAAAATAAAGCACGTTGTCTGATCTGATAGACTAATTCTTTTGCCACTGCTGGTCTAAGTGTTCACGTTCACCATCGGTGCTCCACTGTTAAAAGGGAATAATGTCGCTTAAGTGTCAAAAGGATAGCTATTTAAAGGAGGTAAAAGTCTTGTTTACATACTTGATATTAAATTCTATTATTTTCATGTTTGAACCTGAATCTGAAATTGAAAAGATGGTCATTGCCAAGACCATGCTATACATGATGTTGGAACAGCTATAAACTAGATCTTTTATATATATATTCTTGTATAGGCTAGTTAATTAAATAGTATTATTTATAGCGGTGAGAAAGGTTTTAAGATCTAATTAACTGCATGGTGTCATTTCATTTATCCTGGCTCCCTCTTCTCTACCTTTACTCATCTGCTGACTTAGTATAACTGGCTTGTCCAGCTACCGACCTATCTTGCTGGGATAAGGCTTCATGAGGTTTCAGAAAAGGCCAGCTCTTATATTTCTCCGAACGCTCGGGGATATAAACTTCTATTTCTCCAAACGATTTCCATTTTCGAGATTTTTTGGTTATTTGCGAATGGAGTGGCCTGAGTGTGTGTGTGTGTAAGGTGTGAAGGGGGTGGGTGGGGGTGGGGGCGTTTAGGGATATTTTTGTGATTTAGTTTTTGCATTAGGGGTGACTAAATATGCAAAATACGTTACTGCCAAAGTCGAGCAGTCTTAGTTTCCTCTCAGTACCTTTTAAAGGATTTTAAAATGAAGTATAATAATCCGGGAATGTTGCCCCACCACAATTGAAGAATCTGAATATTCAGACTTGACTCCTAAAAATCTTGAGCTGTAGAAATTGAATTCGATGCGAAAAAAAATGCTTGTTCTTCCCAGTCCTCACAGAATGGCAATGAAAGATGACACTGACAAACTCTCTCAAATAACCAAAAAATCTCAAAAACGGAAACAGTTCGGAGAAATAGAGGTCAAGTTCATTTTCCCGAGCGTTCAGAGAAAAAGTAACTTCAATAAGAAAAGCTCAAATTTTTAAAAAGCATTCAAGCTTTACACTGGCAGCTTTTGAATTCTCAAAATGTGGCAAACTTAATTCTCTGCTAGAATTGGTCTCATTGGCCATAACAACAGAGTAAGCCACAAAATGTATCTCTTCATTAATTTGGCTTGAAGAGAAAGATGCCATTATTAGTCATTGTCCAAGGCTGAAGTAATTAAATTAATTAATTTTAAAAGTTACAGTCGAATCTGCCTTATCGGAAACCTGTCTAAAAACGGAATCTCCCTGCTCCCCCCTTGATGTATTCCTCTTTAATTACCGTACGGAAACCTGTCCATTGCAGAAACGGAAAACAAAATCCGCTCCCTTTCAAGGGTTTCACCTGACGGAAAATTAAATGCTTTACCCGCTCAGCCCTGATTTGAATATATAAAACTTGCTAGTTTGATTCCGCCAGCTCTAGACTTAATGCTATGGCTATGCCACTGGGCGAGGAAGGGGAGTAGGGGTGCAATTTGGGGGTAGATGGCTAGATGTTACCCCATTATGTGAGCCCTGAGTAATGCAGATGGTCAGTGTAGTGTGGATATGAAATCTCAGGACTGCCCGTGAGAGTGCCTCGAGTAGAGAGCCACTACGGAGCCTTTCCTGGGTAGCCGGCCACCCTGATCGTACGGCCCGCTGAGAAAAGAGTTCCTCGAATCGTTTGTTACAATGATGGCAGTGAGGAGTGGCATTGGTGGGTGGGGCTAAGGGTGGAAGCAAAGGAGATGTTCAAACGTTTCTGTTTTTAATTGGTCTAGCAGTGGTCCTATGAAAAGCAAGCACTGGTGGTAATTGGGTAAGACTGACATTATCAGACAGGATAACAATTGAGAGGTGTGAAATTTTGGCCACTGCTTGCTGATCGGACAAGCTATCCTTGATCCCTCCGGCTTGGCCTTTTGTTGAACCCCCCCC